ACTGTAACTTTGTCTCTTTTATTATTGAGCACTTTTTAGTGGTCTCAAAACAGAGAAACCAGGAACTGTATACAGTAAAAAAACTGCTGGTGTATTAATATAGTAATATGGTACTAGAGTACTATCTATACTATAGTTATACTGTGGCAATCCATGCACAACACTGATGGAAAATAGGTTAGTATAGCTCAGTGGTGCCTAAACTTTTCATGCAGCCGTGGAATGGATGGTGCCAAATTTGTGGATTGGATCTGGCTGGTTGGTTTAAGTACATGCATTCCTATTTAGCATGGGAATTAATGCCCAGGCATTAAAAAGGAAGAGATCGCAACAATACCATGCTTTTAAAAAAAATCTCTGGTATAGGATGTTGCCTTTAACAGTCAATAAAAAACTCAGAATGGCATTTTTTAAACTACATTTGGAAGTTCTTTAAGTACTTATTTAAAGAATCTGGGCACTTTGGAAAAAATGCATATAAACCAGCTAAACTTTTTTCTTTTTGAGGACACAGTTATATTCTGCACTGGCAGGGGAATGACTAGTGAAACCAGATTGGTCTTTTCTTTTCATAGTTGCTATGATTCTTTTGCTTAATTTTCTTTTGCTTGATTTTAAAACGTATCTATCATATGTGTAATATTCAAACACATCTTTAAATATTAGTTCTGTACAATCAGAGTTGCAGACCTTCAAATTAAGGCCCTCATCTTGGGGATACTTAAGTATATGCTTAAATTGGCATAGGCAAGCAGTGTGAATTCAAAGTGTAAACGTGTTTGTAGGATTGAGGCTTGTCATCAAAACAAACCTTGTTAAAACAGGTTGTTATAATATTTGTTTTAACAGGAAATGTATGGTTCTTTATAAGCTATAGCTATCTCTAGGTGTTAGACTCTGTCAATGACCTACCGTGAATGTGTAAGGAAAATGATTTAAAAAAAACTTAGCTAAATTATTTACAGGACAGACCTCAGCTGCCTAAACTCCCATAGTCTTAAATAGATTTGTTGTTTTTGTTTTTTAAATATTTGATTGAGTTCAACAAACGAAAAAGCTCAATTATAAATATATTTAAATTTAAATAACAACAGGTCAGATTTAAAGCCATGAAAAACAAAGGAACTCATAATTAAGGCTAAAATGTCTAAAATAACCCCCAGCTTATTCATTCACATTCATACGATTTTTTAAAACTTATTCAAAGGTGAAAGGTGAGTTTTAAATTAATCATCAGGGTAAATTTTTCAGATTTAATACCATATATAATCTTTTGGCTTTTGAATTTTTTCACGCATCAACATTCCTTGAGCTGGACAGTGGAAAGACTTATTTCCTTACCAGCAGTGTCCATTATTGCTAAAGTAAAAGCCCACATTGCTTCTGTATAGTCCCAAAAAAGCCAAGTTGTACATGGTTTTTTGGGGAAAAAACCCCCAGTCATTTAAATTCATACAATAACTATATGTGTGTTGAAGACACTATTGTACTGATCTGCATTGTATCATACTGTATTAATTTACACCAACTATGAATTAGAGTTGAAAATATATCGTTTTAACCAGGTGCACATATACACATATAAACAAAATGCATGCATCACTTCAGATTAATTAGTATGATTCCATTTAATTTCTAACATAATTGTTACTGTTTTTTGCACTTTACAATTATGTAGAAAGATAAGTAGGCACAATAAATTGTATTGATTCTATCCATACTCTTACTATATTCTGGCATACCATAACACACTAGTAGTTAGTATGATAGAATACAATATGATACAATTCAAGGTCAGTTTCTATGCTGTATAAGTTGGTAAAAGATACACTGAAGTCTTGTAAATAGGGCCCTAAGTGCTTAAATCAAACAAATATACAATTTCTGTAGCTTTACAGAGTAGAACAGTGCAATATGTGGTGTGCCAGTATTCCAACAAAACAGAGTCTGCGTTGCAGTAGCTTATTATTTAACCTTGGAATAATTCTTTCTGCTGCTCTAGCATGTCTACTGGATATAGCCGACTTCTATACACTCAGTCTTTTCCCTCAGCCAGGTCTCCTGTGTTGTCTACATAAGGGATGTTTTGCTGGTTAACTCTTTCCTGGTACAACAAGACAGCTTCCCAATAAAGGTAAACTAGCAGTTCTTCTGGAGGGTCGGTTCACAGTGCTTGGTCGACTTTTATCTCCGTTTATTTCCCACCTTTTTATTCTGGAAGAACCTATGTCTGGCTTCTTTGGGAAAGACCCTGCTGTGACTTTTTGCCTTTTTTCAGGAATCCCTGAAATGACTGTAGAGTTCAGAAACGTCCTCTTCGGTTTTCTTGTCACCTGTAGCTTTTTAGCATCAGAATTTTCCTTTTTGAGGTGCTTTCCGACTGCTGTTTTCCTCAACTGGTGCTGATGGATGGAGAAGACAGAAGATTTTTGGGCACAAGACGAGAGCTTCTTTCTTATCCCCTCTTTTTGTTGTTTTTTAGTTCTGGTGGTTTGTTTGGCTAGGGTTACTCTACCTCCTTTCCTCCCAAGTACATGCCTGACAGGCATGGGTCCGGCAGGCTTCTTGGAAAAACCTGGTTCTTTACGAGTGCCTTCTTTTCTCTTCCACACAGGCTTTGGATTCTCCTTCTCCAACTTCTTACTCCTGATTGCCATCAAAGGTGTTTTGGCAACCCTGCTACTAAATGGAGTTAATCTAATATCTCCTTCCATCTGAGACTGGCAGGAGTTCAGAGGAGAAATGATAGTGTGTTTATAGGACTTCTCGGAGTGACCAGACACTACATAATCAGATCTTTCAGTGGAAACAGAAGACCCATCTGTTCTCTGATTTGAGTTCATATCACCCCCTTTTACTGGATCAGGCAAGAAAGATACTGAAGATGAAGTACAAAATTCTGGACAGTTGAAGGAGTTAGATGGTGTACATTCTTTCTGTGCATCAGCTAGCTTCTTCAGGTTTGCATCAAGTCTGAGACTTCTGAATAGCTGTCTAACGTGGGGGGGCTTTTTAGCCCCTTCTCTAGCTGTGCTCTTAGGTGGCATTTTTAAAATTCGGTTGGTCAATGGATCATAATATTTAAGAGAACACTGTTTGTATTTGTACCTGACAGAGTCCTTACCATCTGTAGAGTTATGTTTTCTCATTTTAGGGACATGTATAGGTTTGCCTTTAAACTGTTTAATTTCTGGACAAGAAAGTACATAGACCACTGTCTTAGGCTGCAGAGGGCTCATGATTTTGCTATAGGATTCAGGAAGTTTGAGGGCACATAGTCGGGTTTTCATGTTTGGAGTTCTTTCATTCTCTGGCCAAACAACATTTGTTTTCTGATTTGGTGGATCATATTCTTTTCTAACAATTTTTCTTTTTACTACTGGATAGTTCACTAAACTGGTTTGAGTCGCATGGCTGACTTTGACCACTTGGCACCTTGAAGCAAGGCGCCAGGTTCTTCTCCGAGGCATTTTAGGTATTTGTGTGTTGCATAGCATTCCCAATGCTAAGGAAGGATTATCAGAAGTCGAGCCAGTGCTTAAAGCATCATTAAATTCTGGCAGTGCTTTAACAGACTCTGCTTCTGTTTTGTTACCTACAACGTCACTCTTCCTTTCATCTTTCTGCTTTTTCTTCATCCTCTTCCCTGGACAGTTGGTTGAGGACTCACTGTCAAAGTAACAGCGGAAGCGACCTTCTTTGAAATCACGCACAAGCGCTTCAATTTTTATATCTTCCTCATACATTATCTGGGACCATGTCTTTCCAACAAAAGAAGGAGGCACATGAGGCAGATCAGGAAGAACTGTTTCCTCATTGCAAGTTATTATATCATGTTTTGCTGCTTCTACTTGCTCCACAGAATCATCTTTTAAAACACAGCTAAGCTGGGTTCCATAGTTCTTATCTTCCAGATTTATTTGGACCTCTTTTAGAACTTCAATGTCTTTTATAGCTGCTTTGGGAAGTTCTGTTCCTGACTGAATAGGTGCATCACAGTCAAAACTCATTTCAGAGCCCTCTGGCTGACTGTGGCTTAGAAGTGATGAAATATTTAAAAAGGAATTGCTCTCTTCACCTTCGCAAGGCAACTCTCTCGGAAGAGACCCATGGCAGTACTTCAGAATAACTTCTTCAATTATTTCATCTACTGATGTTTCATACCCTCTGCTCAACTGGATGTCTTTGCATTTTTCTAATTGTAAAGATATTCCACAATTTAGCGACCTGCTGGTCTCCACAATATCCCTGAGATGGAAGTCAGACAAAGTTTCATCCTGAGATTGTAAACCATCTTGTTTAAAAAAAGATTGACCTGAGGTAATACATAAAGAGTTGCCTTTGCTATAGGTAGGGCTTTGATGTGAAACTGAAGGCGTTTTTGAGTAGACTGATGCTAAGACAGGTCTAGGATGTCTATTCAATAATCCAACTTTATTGCATACACCCTTCTTTGTTTGATCACATATGCTACTTGGAATCAAATCTGATGTTGCTGAATACCTAATATTTTTTGCAAATGTAGGTGTAACAGGAGGACTGTATGATAAAGAGCTGACAGGCAAATGGTGAGGTAGTGGGCTCACAGTTGTAAACTGGCCTTCGTGGCTACTATTTGCAGTCTGAGCCCCATTTGTCAGGTTATGTCTTTTCTCACTGTTACAAAGGTCTACAGGTTTCTGGGATATTCCTAACATGCAGTTCTTCCCCCCCTCTGGTTTTTGGGTGAAAGCCAGTAGCACAGGAATCTCCTTCACCCCCTCAAGTAATTGACGATGAGTAGGGGAACATTTCTCAGCAATGGATTCACCGCCTTTGCTAGACATCTCCTCTCTGTTTCTAACCATCTTTTCCTCCACCCGTTCTGGAAGCAGGCAAACATCCCTGGGAGCCAATGGAGAGACAGGAGGTGGCATGTCATCGTATGTTGGTCTAGAAAAAAAAACAACTGTATAAATACTTTAAAATATACTTAAAGATTTTTCCTGATGAAGGTATTAAGAATCCCATAAACAAAATTAACTTTGGCACATTATGGCTAAGAATGAACCCAAACTGCTAGCTACATACTGTACAAAACCAGGCATAAAAAGAAAAACAAAAGGAATGTTCCATAAAGAACCCAAAGAAAGAAAACAATTTGGCCTTTTCAAAATGGCTGAAAACATAAGTATCGTTATTCTACATGGGTTAAGAAGGGACTGTTTTCATTTTTTAACTCATTTATTTATGGCTAAAGTTACTGCATAACAACAATAAATAAAAAGAGAACTGATCTATTAAACAGATGCTGAACAGGCTGCTGTAGTATACTGAATAAGCATCTCTAACAAGAGACTTTATATACAAATTGTGGTGCTCTGAAACTGACTCAGTAAAAAACAAAACCAAATAAAACATGATATTATAGTGTCCCATGTTTACTGCATCTCACTAATTAACCAGATCTAAAAACTCAGCCCAATACCTGAGAAGCTGTCATGGTTCTTTCTGATACATACTTCAATTCCAGTAATAAAGCTTCACAAACTATATCTTAACTGTGGTCAACCCCTTGCCACATCTCTGTTGCAATGACAGATTTTTGCACAACCTGCAATAAAGTGTTTACTGCAACCCATATCCTTCAGCTCAACTTAAGTTTTCACTTCATTGCTTTTGTAGAGCTAACAAAGTAAAGAGGGAGAGACGGATTCTGAGACTACACATGCATCAGAGCTATTTACTTCTGTGCACATCAACTGAAAGTAACAACCAGCATAAGAGTACCTGAACACAAAATAGATCGTTAGGGCCTCATCTTGCAAAGACCTACATATGGATAAACTTTACACCATGAATGTTGTGTGCCTCCTGAGGCTGGGGGGGCATCAGCAGCGGCAGCATGGGCGTGGGAGCTCCCACAGGTGGCCGCAGTGGTGTCAGTGGCGAGGGGGAGGAGGGGGAGTGGTGAGCACTGAGCAGCAATCAGCAACTGCCCGCATACATCACCAGCGGTGTCAATGGTGAGGGTAGGGGTGGCGAGCGGCGACCACCTGCAGGTCCACCAGCAGTCACCAACTTCAAGGGGTGTACTGCCAATCTCAGGGGGTGCATGTGCACCTGCATGCAACCCCTATACATTGCCAATGCTTTACACATTAGAGTGATCTCCAGTGATCATTTTAACTTCTGTATTCCTCTGCATTGTAACAGGAGTAAAATGCTACAAACAGTTTCAAATGACTTAATTGGTTACAGAGAGACACAGTTGTTTGGGTAATCATGGTATCTTTTATTAGACCAACTAAATAGTTGGAAAAATTGTTCTTTAAAAGCTCTCAGGCACAAACACCCTTCTTCAGGCATAGGGAGAACCAGCTAGTGTTTGTGTGCTCTCCTAGGTGGAACTGAAGCCAATATGCAAAATGTAGGTCTGTTAATTGGTTACACATGCTCAAAATACACTACCTTTAATGAAAGTTAAGGTCAATTGACGTCTATCTGTGAGTAGTTCTACCAATTCAATTTATATTTAACCTGTGCTTAAATCTTTGCGGGATCAGTCCCTTAGCTCAATGAAATCTGTATCTACTCAACATGGAGTAAAAGAGCTAAAGAAACGGGTATTACTGATCAGCTAAGAAAAGCACAATCTATAATTTGGGTATATATTTATATTTTTAACAAGGTCTAGTCTTATTTGGGGAACAATCTTATTTACTCAAACTAGTGTCCTATAAAGGAAATAACAGATTTTGAAATGTTGGCCACCCCCTTTTTTTTTTATTAAAAAAATATTGTAATTACAAAACCTCTATGACATTCATACACAACAATTACAATAATGTTAATATATATGGAGTGAATTGGGGCACAGTGGTTAAAAGTATCTTGCTATGGTGTCTGAGATGCAAGCTGGAACTCACTCTGGATTTGTGACAAAAGACTACTCAACCCAGCTGTTAAAGGTAATGGTCATCCAGACTGGGGACTCAGGAGGACCTTTGATCTTGATATGGCAATGAACAGAGAGTAAACGAATGGACCATTTGTATTGAGGGGGGGCATGATAATTACCTCACTCCAGCAGACTCCAGCATCATGTGCATCAGCATCTCTGTGCTGAAAAACTAGCTTTAAAGTGCCCCTGCCACCATTTTTCAACACGGGGATGCTGAAACACATGATGCTCCAGGAGCGTTAATTACAATGGCTCTCAGAGCCACTCTAATTAAAGTGCCCCTCCCCCACACTCCTGGAGCACATGTATAAACACCCGAGGTTGTGACCAAAACTAACAGAAGTTAGATTGGGAATACAGCCTCACATTTCATTCTTAACTCCCACTGTTTTCCTTACAGGCTATCACAAATCAAAGGTTTATAATTCTGATAAGAAACCTTAACATTCTTTAAGTATTAGTTTGTCATCTGTGAATGTGAGCACAGTGTCTCTTTCCCTCTCTCAGCTGCATCAGCATTACAAGACAAATAGAGCAAAAACTTAGATTTGGGACTAGATCAGAACAGGAGAGAGAAACTTGGAGATTCTGCTGCATACAAGAGACTGCAGCACTATTCCCAGAACACATCTGGTGCCAAGAATCTCTATCACAGTGAAAAACGGTATCTGAGCTACCAGAGCAGTAAGGGATAGACCTTTACAGAATTTTATTGTGAGAACAGCAAAAATGGAAAGTAGCATACACCCTTCTTCCCCAAATTACCCCTACGGGATTCAATTTCCAGGACCTTCCTGCAGAAAAGCATGATGTACCATTGCAGCTTTGGAGCTAGAGTAATCTTTAGTCATTCTAACGAGCATTTGTGCAAAGGAAGCTTGTGATTGTATATAGCTAACTAGACACCACAGCAATATAAGCTTATATGTGCAAGCATACAAAATATGAATATTAGGGGTGCACCCATAGAGATTTGGGGGGGGG